GAAGTATGTATGAGGTATAGCAAAACAACACCAATTTATATGACTCAGAGCCATGAATCAGCAAATTCTGGTATGGGGGGATCCTGAAGCAATCACCTACAGATAGCAAGGGAGGAACTGTACCAATTTATAATTTTTCTGCTAATAAAGAGCTTTCAGAAATATCATACTTTCTTATGCACATAAAAAAAAGCAAAATAAACTGGGTAACGTATTCCTCACATTTCTTTACATTTAAAATCTGGATCTTGTGAATCACTTTTTGGCCTAAGAACTGATACTAGTAGCTTTTTTTTTTTACACAGTATCATTCTTTTTTTCTTTTTTCCTCCAGTACCAGGAATCAAACTCACGACCTTGCGCTTGCCAGGCAGACGCAGTGCCGCTGAGCTAAATCCCCAGCCCAAAGTGCAACCCCAAGGTTGACTATGACTTTTTTTTTTTAATGTACTGGGAATCGAACTCAGGACCTTGTGCTTGCCAGGCAGGCACTTGTGCCACTGAGCTATATCTCCAGCCCAACAATGTAGTAAGTGATTTTTTTTTTAATTTTTTTGATTTTTTTTTTCCAGTACCAGGAATTGAACTCACAACCTTGTGCTTGCCAGGCAGGCGCTGTGCTGCTGAGCTAAATCCCCGGCCCCCACAGTATCATTCTCTAGACAGGAATACTGGGAAACCTAAATAGTGTGCGTTACAAAACGCCTAAAGCTAGTGTGCCATGTTTTCCCCGCCAGCGCTCGGGTTTTAGAGCTGGCTTTGCAACTACAAAATGCGAAGTTTACTTGGCTCTTGCTCGGTGCTGTTACTAAACACCGCACGTGTGGCTCCACTCTGCCCACCAGCCCTGTCCGCTCCATTAACCTGCTCCAGAGTGAACAGCATTCCCCTGGTTCACAGACTTTTATTCCACGCCAGCACAAGCTTCTGATGCAAGTGTTTGACAAATTCATGAAAGTGCAGGCTCAGCCATCTGATTGACTCAGTAACTGTAAGACACTACCAAGCAAAAGACCCACCCTGAGAGCTGTCCAAATGTTAAAAATGTTACACTCAAACAGGCAGTTGATAGAAGGCTTAGGTACCAAGAAAGACTGGCAAAACAGAGAAATATACTTATTGTTTTTACTTTACACTGCCGTGAAGACTAAGTCAAGACATTGAAGAAGTGGTCATGTAAAATGTTTTACGTCATTACTTTCAACACTTTGTAGCCCCACTCTCTAACGAGGGGCTGACATGCAGACTATGTGGGGAGTACGTTTTCCGGTGCATAGGGTCATTACCCTGGTCTCCTGCAAACACTCTCAGAGACTCCAAGGCTTCCGTATATATCCACTCGTGTTCTTTGAGTACTTCTCTTAATTCCTGGAAAGAAGTTATTAAGGGTTGTATTACAAATTAGCAATATGCAACATTTCTACAACTCTTAAACTAAGCTAATCACCTGAGAACATAAAGAATTCGTATCTTACTATTTCACATTTGTTTTAGGCTGCATACAAAGGCATTCTGTGTAACTGCATCTCTGCAAATGTACTGAACCATGTTTGTCAAAGGGAAGAAAACCTGACAAAATTTTGTATCTCTAGTTCTCCCCGTGAAGTTCTCTCAATACTGGAGGATCAAAAACAGTATTTGCTCAATTAAAATTGAAACTTCAAAGCCTGGCCTGGTGGTACATACTGTAAACCCAGCACTTGGGAGGCTGATGCGAGACTGCTCTGAGTTCAAGGCCTGCCGGGGCTATCTAGTGAGTTCAAGATAAGCCCTACCACACAGTGAGACCCTGCCTCACAAATGAAAGCAAAAAAAACAAAATAGAAACTTCAAGTGACTAGACTTTTACACGTAGCTTCAGTGCATGTAATGAACCAGTATGCATAGCAACAAAATTCTGTGTTCAGCTCAGCAGAACTCAGCAGATCGTTCCCTGAGCACAACAAGAAGAAATCACTGCAAGAGCAAATGTACTCCCAATGTACACACGCACCTCAGCGAGGAGCAGGGAGAAGAGCCCCTCAGCACCGGCATGCTCAGCACTCTCTAATGACCGGCATGGCATGTTTTCTTACTATCCAAGCAGCACAACAAAGCTTTTTCAATTTTAAGGCACTGAAATGCAATGTTACACTTTAAAATTCTTCTAAGTAATTTCAAGAATGAGAACAATAAAAAAAATAATCTAAGCAGTTACTTGAGGGGGAAGGGCCATAGATAACTCTCTAGGCGATTTACATTTCATAAATGAGTTCACCATATTTATTAAAGTATGTTTGGTGTGATTTGGGTTATAATGCTAATACTCTTATTAGGCAATAAACTAAAAACAGTGAAGAATTCAAAAGTAGTATAAAACAGTTTATAGAACCATGATAAAAAGAGCTTTAGTTGGAAAAATATAAAACTTGCCTCAAGCTTATACATGGTTAACCACTATTTTGCAAATGTTTATTTAATATACACAAATTACATTTCCGTATCGTACTGCTCACCTGTTTATCAAAATTGGGAAATTCCTTTTGCAATTTCAATACAATACTTTCCTGCTTTTCCCAATTACTGCTAGATTCTGCAGACTCATTTGATTCCTCTCCCTAATAGAGAGGGAAGGAAAAAAAAGAACCAATTTAAGTCATCATTAGTAACAATGGTATTAGTGGTAAAATGGTCAATTACACTTGTATTTTGATGTGATTTGCAAATTACACATTTGATCACATACAGTGTTTCTTTTTGTTCATGTGAACACTGATAAATATACGTCTTAGAGGACAATACTGCTGACTTCAGAGCACCGGAAGACCCTAGTATGTGTCCATTAACATAAACTGTATCCATAGTACTGAAACAGAGACAAATCTGCTAAAACTAGAAAATCCCCAAAATTAATATAATTCATCCATAATTTTATTACCTCCAAAATAATGACGTTTTAAAAGCAATGCCAGTATTTTATCATGTTTACAATTTTATACCTACCAGTAAGTTTTAAATACCAAGAGAAAAGCTTTTATATCAGTCCTGAATCATAAAATGGCTTAAATACTAATTGTTCAACCATAACACAAAAGTGAAATGACTCAAGGGACTTGAGTAGCTATATATAAAAACTAAAATTAATCTAGAAATAACTGGGGCTAGACACATAAAGTTTCACTTTTCTTTCACTTCCTTTTACTTGCAGTATATAGTTAAATCCCACATTTAAGCAAAAAGAAGAAACCTTTTGTATTCGTGTATAGGAAGAATCTTGTATCATAGTCAATAAAAAGCTAAGAACTCTGCAGGAACTGTATTATATGCTATACAAACACGACAGAGAAAACCAGTCCAATTTTCTCTTTTACCTCCTTTATAATCCAACAGTTGAATAAATATCTTTATTTCAATAACTAAGGCAGAAAGAATTAAATTGAGAGTGACACCTCTCTTGCACATAGGAACAAAATAAAGTTCTGTAAGACAGAGGCAAATAAAGTGCAATGGAAGGGCTGGATGTGTAGTTCAGCAGTGGAGTGCTTGCCCAGCACGCACTAGGCCCTGGATTTGATCCCTAGTACCAAAGGAAAAAAATGCCATGGAGGTTTGTAACAGGAAAAAAACTAGATGTATGTTATAAAGGGAGTGGCCTCTCTGGGCTGGAGCACAGTAACAATGGCTACAAGACTGAAGAATTAAACCACAATTAACAATGCATAACCAAAGATTAATCTTCATTCAAAAACAGCAGAAGCAATGGGGTTTTCACCAGGAGTACATAAAGCAGTATTTGGAGAAAGTGTTTCAAAACCCCCAGAAATTCATACTGTCCTTCTCACTTAACAGTGAGGACACTGCAAGCCCAAGACTAAGCACTTGAAAGGTCACAGGTAAATAACTAGTTAGGGTGGAAAAGTAACAGCTGTCTGGCTCCAACTATAGAGATTTTCCAACATTTCAGTTGTTTATACAGCACATTCCTATTTTTAACAAATATATCAAATGTCCAATCAATGGAAAGATAAAGAAAAACTATAGTAGATACATAAAATGGATGATTATTGGCCCTAAAAAGAATGCAGTGCTGACACATTATAGTCTGAGCAGATCCTGAAAACATGATACTACATGAAGAGGACACTGAGCCAGGCACTGTAGCATGCACCTGCAGTCCCAGCTATTTGGGAAGCAGAAGTGGCATGATCATTTGAGCACAGCAGTTGGAGGTTATGCTGGGTAGCATAACCAAACCCCGTCTCAGAGAAAAAAAAAAAGGATAAAAGGTCACATATGATTCTATTTTTTGAATAATGTAAAATAGGTAAATCCACAGAGAAAAAAGGCAAACAGGTGGCTGCCAGGTAAAGAAAGGAATGAGGAGAAGCAACCTGATGGATACAGCACTATGGGGTGATAAAAAACACTCTGGAACTAGGTAAAAGTGACTGTGTATAATATTATGATCGCACTAAATGCCACAGAACTAGCCTCTCTACAATCGTTTATTTTACACTAAGTGAATTTCACCATCCAACTCAGGGGTCTAGCTCTGTGATAGTGTGCTGAGCATGCCCAAGGCCCTGGGTTCAATACCCAGCACAAAACATCATTAACAACTCCCACTAAGAAACTGCTTATAAACTAGCAAACAGGGGTACAGAAAATACTGTGTTTAACAGCACATCCAAATCAGACATCCAGCATTCCATAGAAGTGTCCTTATCATTTGCTGCTTGCTTTCAGATCCTACCAGACAACTGTCCCAGTCCTTAGTGACTGAAGATACACAAGATGTCCACCAGTTACACTGGAGCTTTACAGAAGCCAGAAAGCACATGCAATCTGGTCCTGAATCTGTCTCAGTGGGCCGAGGAGTTATGACTGATTCAATCTTGTGGTTTATCTCCCAGCTCTAAAATACACAGTTGGAACACACATATTGGCATGAACAAAACCACACATTAGCTCCCTGAAGCATGAAGTATGGGCCACTATTCTAGGAAATATCACATTGCTACTCACAATCAAAACAGTAACAGCAAGATTGTATTCCTTAAGGACCTCCAGAGGCTGAAAGACGCATCCCGGCCCACACAAAGTTGCAAAAGTCTTGCAGAATTATTTCAGAGTATCACAAACGCTTAAGTGATGAATGCATTGTGGCTGTTCTACTAGATGTGGGATTTTTACTGAGGCAATCAACTTGGCTACGCAGTTATCCATCAGGCAAATGTTTCTTCTCCTTATTGAAGTTACGCAGTTCAAATGAGCAATCTGTTTTCATCTGGGCAGATTCAGATACACCCTCACTGCCTTCAGAACTATGATAACTCTGCTATTTTTCATAACAAGGTGCACCAAGCATTCTGTTTTGCAGCACACAGAACATCACTTTGATCTATTACACCAAAGACATCATGGTAAACAGAC